GATTTAAATTGTTAATAATTTAAAAAATCAAAAGGTCATTTGACTAAAAATAGTGAATCAAATTATTCTTGTTTCTAATTTTATTTAGATCTCATTAAGTCATATATTGAAAGTTCCATATATACTACTTTAGAATTAATTAAAAAATACTCAAATAAATAGTACATTGTTGTTCTTGGATACTGCTGAATAGAGTATGACTCATAGTGACCCTATGAACAACAGATCTAAACCTTATGCTATCTTGTGCCAACCTCACAAGCTGTGACACACTCGAGCTTATAGCGGCAATCACTGTGTCAATCCACCTGATTGAGGGACATGATGTCCTTCTCCAAAGAATAGCCTCTTTTAACAACATACCTAAAGTATGCAAGACAAAGCTTTGCCATCCTTGACTACAAAGAGCACTCTGACTGAATCTTCTCTAAGACATGTCTGTTGGTTCTTTTGACGGTCCATGTGATACTAAGGACTCCTCTCCAACACCACAGTTCAAAGGTGTCAGTTTTTGTTCTGTCATCTTTATTCATTGTCTAACTCTTAGATCCATTGTAAATGATTGAAAAGACTATGGTCTGAATCAGGTGCACCTCAGTCCTCAAGTTAACATCATTGCTCCTTAATAGTTTGGAGAAATTTCTGACTGCAGAGTTTCCCAGTATAATATGTTCTCTGATCTCTTGATACTATTAAGTGTACTGATTGTGGATCTAGGTAAGAAGAAGTTATTGACAGTTTCAATCTTTTCTTCTGTTATCATGATGTTATTGCCTATAAATTTAGTGTTGAGAATTCTGGTTTTCTTGACCTTGAGATACAGTCCATGCTGAAGGGAACAAGTGTTTGACCTTCTACAGAAAGTATTTCAAATCCTCCTCATTTTCAGCAAGCAAGGTTGTGTCATCTATATAACATAGGTTATAGATGAGTCTTCCTTCAAACTTGATGCCACATTTTTCTTCATGGAGTCTACCTTCTCAAACAATTTTCTCAGCATACAAATTAAATAGGTGTGAAGAAAGGATACAACACTGACACACACCTTCCTTAATTTTAAACCATGTAGTGGGACCCTTCCTCTGTTTGTACAACAGTTTCTTGGTCTTGTTACAGGTTTTGGATGAGCACAAGTAAGTGTTCTGAAATTCCTATTCTTCTCTGTTTTATCCCAAATGATTTCTGGAACCATTATCTACAAGCTCCAATAAATATAAATATCAATGTTTTCTAGCATAAGTACCAGTACTTACAGATAAGGAATAAATAAATAGTATATGTAGTAATAATATAATAATAAATATTTATATGGGAACTCTGATGTCCTAGTGGCAAGATGCTGTGTTGCGATCCCAATGGCATGCATTTCGAGGCCATTAGTCACTCCTTGGGAGACGGCTTCGCAATGTTCTCCCATGCAATTAACTGTCTCTTAAAAGCAGCTTAGATCAGCTTCGACTCTATGATACACAACAACAACAACAATATCCATATACATTAAAATGTGTGCATGATTATTGTAAACTTCAAGAAAATGTGAGTTCATAATTTTAATAAGTTCAGCTGTATAAATTAAAGTAAAACTTTAAAATAACATTTAATAATATGACAATAATACTCTATTCATTCTCTAATTTTCCATCCTCATGCACAGATTTTTAAAGTTATAAATTGAGGAAAAAAGAAACTTTTATCTTTACATCTCTTGATATTTAAAATAGAGTTTTCAATGACAGAGTTAGAAAATAACTTTAAGCAATGTCTCAGATAGAATATGAATTACCGTTTTTTTTAGTCTGTTTATCTCATTCTACCAACATATGTTTAAAAAGCTCTCCTATTGTCTTAAAATATTATGGCTCTGGAATTTGAGCTCTGGAATTAGCAGCCATTGCTTTTTTTTTTAATGCTGTAGATTTTTCCTATTTCAGTTTTCTTATCTGTAGCACAAACTTGATGATACCAAAGGGAATTGAGTACATTTTACAGAATAAATCAGCAGAAAATAAGTGTAAATGTTTAGAATAGTCACTGGCAAAAAACATCACCACATCCTAACTATTGTTATATTTTTTAAAAAATTAATTGACATTTAAATGATATCTAGACTAGCTGTTTTCAAAAGAACAAAAGACAGTTCTAAAGGACATTATGAATACTGATACTTGTGCTAGAAAATAATTTATACCTGTGTTGATTCTCACCACTGGGCCAATTGGCAGCATCAGTGTAGATGGTGAAGAGATTGAGATAGTTAACAGTTTTAGTTTACTTGGCTCCATAGTCAGCACTCTTGATAACAGCAGTCAGGAAATCAGGAGATGAATTGCACTGGGAAAGTCAGCTGTGAGGTACATCTCAACAGTACTGAAGTGCAAGGACATAAGGCTGGAGACTAAGGTGTGCCTGATTCAGGCTATGTTGTTGTTGTTATGTGCCGTCGAGTCGTTTGCGACTCATAGCAACCCTATAGTCTTTGCAATTACATGCTATGCATCGGAGGGTTGGACAGTGAATAGGGATGATAGAGAATTGATACCTTTGAGTGTGGTGCTGGAGAAGAGTGTTGAATATACCATGGACTGCTAGGAGAACAAACAGGATTGTCCTGGAGAGGGTGAAGCCAGAATGTTCCCTGGAGTCAAAGATTCTGAAGCTTCATCTGACATACTTTGGGCATGTTGCAAGGAGGAACTTGGAGAGAGACATCATGTTTGGGGGAGTGGAGGGATGGCACAGGAGAGGAAGACCTTCGATGAGATGGATCAGTTTTGTGAGTGGAGTGGTGGGAATGAATGTGTTTGAGACAGTGAGGTTGACACTGGATAGAACAGCGTCTAGGGCTATGAATCACAAGCAACTCGATGGCACATAACAACAACAACCAACACCTATGTTGATTGTTTGGAAGCACTTCCTAAACAAACATTCCTCTGGAAATTCTATGAACATTGAGAAACAGAAAATAGTTATAGAAAGGCTTCAGGTTTTATTCTTAGGATAGCTATGAGTTGTGCTTAACTCAGTGGCAACAACGACAACAACAACTACATGTTTATTGTAACTTGTAGACAATAGCACCAAGATAAGTGTTAAAACAATTAGTTAGCATTCATTGATATGTACCATCATTTCTTTTGTACTATACATCATTCTCTATTGTACTATCTCAGCTGTTAAGACAGTTGTTAGGTTCCTTTGAGTTGCCTGTAACTCATAGCTGCCCTATTTACTAAACCAACAGAAATATTTTTCCCTAATAGGGTTGCTATGAGTTACCTGTGACTCGACGGCACTTAACAACAACAACAACAATTGTACATTTACTCTAGCTACTTGGATTACCTAAGGCAGAATCATGATGAACAGTTATTAAACTTTGGAGTACTAGTGAAAGAGGATAGCTGTAACCAACCGCATAGATCACAGGAGAAACATGTGTTGGTTTTATCCAAAATGTCTTTCCACCTTGGGTCACTTCTTTTTTTTTTATTTTTATTTTTAAAAAATTTTTTTGGGGTCACTTCTAATTTATCCTATAGCACTTCTAATCTATCCTATATCCTATAATCAGAACTGGACATCAATCAATAACTTAAATACACTCATTTTGAAAAAGGAAAATTACTCTGATCTTTTCATTTGTGTCTAAAACTTAGAAGAATGCTAAATTACCATTTTTTAGATTGTGGGCTCTGGCCAGAGACATGTTTTTGAAGCATTCTTTTTAAATGCAGAATGGTATAACTAATTAGATTATGAATTAATATCAGCATTTTGACAACAAGTAGATAACTGATTTACTAATTAATGCTTAGTAACATGGACACTAGATCACTCTGAGGACTTTTTTTATCAGTAATCAAGATCAGATCAGTGTATAGACAAAATAATTTAATAAGCACATTGTGTAGTCATATATATTCACATATTCTAGAAAGATGTAGTAAAAATGAAAAGTGACAAAATAGAGGATATTTATGAAGTGAAAAAGCATAAATATGACATTTCAAGATTGATAGTAAAATTGTGAAGAGAAAAATTTATTCTAAAATAAAAATCATTACAGTTTATTTTGAAAGATTTCTTGAAAATATTGTGATAAGATTAATTTAACAAAACCTTTGTCATTTCAACAATTCTCATATAACATTCAGTAACATTAATATTGGTCAACTTGTGAGAGTATCCATTTTCAAATATTTCTATCTTTACTAAAATCTACTCATCAATGCATTGACCTATTATATGTGAGTGAGAAATGAGTAACAAATGTTAGTATATCTAAAGGTGTGATTTTTTTTTCACTCAATATAATGCTTTCTAGGTTTATCTATGTCATGGTAGGTGTCAGAACTTTCTTCCTCCTTATGAATGAATAATGTTCCATTGAATGCATGAGTCATGTTTTATTTGACCATTCATTTATCGATTGACACTGAAATACTTTTGAGGGGAAAAATAATAAATTAAAAGAATAATTGAAAAAGGATTGCTATAAAATAGCTACATTAGGGAGGCAGATTTTTTTAACAAAGACAAAATTGTGCTTACTTGTCAAAGTCCACAGAGAAAGGTAGGCTGAGAAAATCATGATTCCAGAGGAAAAGAGTTAAGTTCTGATAATTTAGATGTATTAAATACACTGGTGAAGTGCATGGCAATGCCTAGAAGAGATTGATGGTATCAAAGAAATTAAATTTGAATCTTGAATATCAAATTTGCAAACTTTTAAAAACTTTATGACGTTTTTGCATGGAATCTTCCAAAATGAATACTTTAATGCAGTGAATGACTAAATGGTGCATAGAGTAATTGATATTAACCATGTACAGCTGCAGGTAAATAAATGGAACTTAACAGTACATCATATCTGAATCACTACATTCAATTGACATTCTTCATAAACTTATCAATATTTCTTTTTCAGGGGCTATATAATTTGCTCCAAAATTTGTTCTAGAATTTGTTCTTTTTTCCTATTTTCTTTCAGTGACACAATGAACAAATACAATGAAACTTCCTCTCAAGAATTTCTTCTGTTGGGCTTCCCAGGTTCCCAGGCCCTTCAACTGTCTCTGTTCATGCTTTTTCTGGTGATGTACGTTCTCACAGTTGGTGGTAATGTTGCTATCTTGATGTTGGTGGGTACCTCCAACCAGCTCCATACCCCCATGTACTTCTTTCTGAGCAATCTCTCTTTCTTGGAGATTTGGTACACCACAGCTTCAGTCCCTAAGGCTCTGGCCATCCTCCTCGGGAAAAGCCAGAAAATATCATTCATGGGTTGCCTTTTGCAAATGTATCTTGTTTTCTCATTAGGCTGCACAGAATACTTCCTGCTGGCAGCGATGGCGTATGACCGTTATCTCGCCATATGCTACCCACTACACTATAGTTCCATCATGAGCAGCCTGCTTTCAACACAGTTGGCTCTGGGCTCCTGGGTCTGTGGGTTTTTGGCCATTTCAGTGCCCACAGTGCTTATCAGTGACCTCTCTTTCTGTGGCCCACATGCCATCAACCATTTCTTCTGTGATATTGCCCCCTGGATTGCCCTGGCCTGTACCAGCACACAAGCGGTGGAGCTTGTGGCGTTTGTGATTGCTTTTGTGGTCATTCTAAGTTCCTGCCTCATCACTTTGATTTCCTACATTTTCATCATTAGTACGATCCTCAGGATCCCCTCAGCCAGTGGCAGAAGCAAAGCTTTCTCTACATGTTCCTCTCACCTAACTGTGGTGCTCATTTGGTATGGATCCACCATCTTTCTTCATGTTAGAACCTCAATCAAGGATGCATTGGATCTGACAAAGGCAGTCCATGTCTTAAACACTGTGGTGACTCCAGTTCTAAACCCTTTCATCTATACGCTTCGTAATAAGGAAGTAAGAGAAATATTGATAAAGAAGTGGAAGAGAAAATAAATTGTCTCTAACATCACAAATGCATATGTTCCGAGTATTTGTCAGTATCTGTAGATAGATCTACATATAAACACACATACAAAGACTTCAAGGAAGAAAGCAAAACTAATATTCTATTGTATGAGAGCTGTTAGTAGAGAGTTGGTATGATTCATGGGGACTCATAAGATATAGAATTAAAATTTAACAGATGGGCAGTAGAAGTAAAATAAGAGCGTCTGTTCCTCTTAATATTTACAAGCTTTCTTTAAGCTGGAATCTACTCAGTATCACTAAATCTGGGTTTAGTTGTTGAGGAAAAAGGGGGAAAATTGAAAAAGCAATGCCTGAGTTTATTTGCTCTTTGGTTAGTGTTAGCTCTATTGAATAATTTTTAACAGTAAACCCAAATATAATGAGTTGGTTCTAGCTATAGGAGTTTTAGATATAAGTAAATCTTAGTTTTTTATGGAAAATTTTCTAGGTCGAATTCAACTTGCTTTTATCATGCGTTTTTAAAAAGGAAACATAAAACATATATGGTAAAAAGGGTATGTAACAAAAAATATTACAAATTTATGCATCTTTTATAAGTTACTTTCTTTTTTATACTTACAAAAAGGGGAAAATTACAATAATAACAATATGAAATTCAAAGATGTATGGAACAGTTATTTAAACAGAATGATAGGTAAAATCATGTGCTCAATTATTTTAGTGTAATATTTTCTTTAATACAATATACTAAGACACATGTAGAGTTAAAAATTTTAAGTGTTATGTGCCATGGTTGTTTAAGAAGCAATCCACATCAATAAAATTCAAAACTCATTGACATAGAGTTAGAACCAATTCATAGGTGACCCTCTAAGAGTTTGTCTTTTTTTTTTTTAAATAAGCTCTTTATCACACAGGAAAGGATGTCAATCTTTCTCCCATGGAGCAGTGGTGGATCTGACCTGCCTACCTTTGAACTAACAGCACAAATCTTTGTATACTGTAGATATGTACCATAAAGTCAGAAATGACACATAGCTGACCCTTCTGCTGGTTTTCAGAGAGAATAAACTGCTTGGGAAAAGATTATCTATTCTCCTGCAGAGTAGCTGGTAGATTTGAACCATGTGCCTTTGGGATTTCAGTGCTGCTGCTTCTTACTAGACCACCAGAGCTCCCTATCTACTGTTGTTGTGTTGTTGTGTACCATAAAGTCAGAATCAACCCATAGTTGACCCTCTGGTGGGTTTTCAGAAGCAACTAATTGGACAATAGGGGATTGTCCTTCATTCTCCATCAACAGCTGATGGCTTCGTACCTTTAGTATTGCAATACAACTTTTTGCCACGAGGCCACAAGAGCTATTAGAACAGTATACATACATACATATACACACACACACA